CGAGGTGATATGGATTAGGGAGATTGAAAGATGGATATATAGTTTATGTCATCATCATTCTTCTACATGGAGATGATGAAGTTGTTGAAAAATATCAATTTGATGGTTATTCCTAATTTCACGCGAGACGTTTCTTGACGGTGTGTTTTGGGTGAAATTGTTTTGATAGATGTCGATGCATTATTATATGCTACGAGATATGCATGTGCGGAGTATAATTGTGAATTACATGGTAGAATGATTTTGCCTAGTTTTGCTTGGTTAGGGAATATGCAAGATGCAGCCGGTGGAAGATGGAGGGTGGTATTGGCGGGGGAACAGAGAGAGAGAGAGGAAGGAAGGGGAATTTCCCAAATTGGGGGAATAGGGAACTTTTGAGTGGTAGTGCAGAGTAGATAGAGAGAGACAGAGAGAGACAGAGAGAGAGAGATAGGGAAAATAGAACGTGAGAATTGAGAGGGTGTATAATGTGACGCCTAGAAATCGGGCAGATGGAAGTAAGGAAATTGTTATTATCTAATTGACCATTACCGGTCTTTCTTGATATGGAAAATACTACATGCAGAAATATACAGAGGGTAATGGTGATGCTGCCTCCACTTATACGGGCATTATTTTGTGTTGTTTTGTTTGCTTACTCGTTTTGTACCTGATATTGGTACAGTAGGATTCAGGCACCTGTTAAGCTAGTCCCCCTGTCCCAGCGAAAAAAATTGGCATTTAGAGCAATCAGCTGACCGGATAAAAACTCAGGGACCAGGGAGAAAAAAACAGTACAAGAAGAGAAGGATCTCTGAGATCAGAATCGAATGACGAGCGAAACGATTGGGCTGGGCAGCGGAGGGGAAAAGGTTGAGAGATAAGTCGGGAGCTGGGCTTTGCCAGGGAGGGGAGGGCGTGAGAGTACAGGGGAGAGAAAAAGAAGAGTCGTATACTGTATGGAGCGAGTAGAGTACAGTACATACAGCATGCATGCCCCGGGGAGCAATAGATGCCAGTAATCGTGTAGCCACTTTAAAGTTGACCCTGGCACCTGGGATTTTTGTTTTGTTTTCTTTTGGGGGCGTGTCAAATTCTTCTTCGTGATGGGATGGATGCATACTGTGAGGAGATGGGACGGTGGGAGTAGGTGGTAACGTGGCAAAGAGAAGAGAGATGGACCGAGATGGATCATCTTTGGGGCTGGGAATGGTGGAAAAAAGACACAGGGCATGAAGACTTTTTTTTTTGGAGCTCTATCGTCCAATTGTTTACTTGGGAGGGTTAGTTGTAAATTTTGCTGTTGGCATGACATTTGAAGAAAGTCGCCACGTATTGAGGCTTAGCTAGGAGTGGCGGTGCGGCCTAATGTGGTGGCCGCTGAACTGGTTGATGTGCAGTACAGCGAATGATATACGAGTAAATTGCTTGTAGTATGTATTAGATTCGAGGTTACTTACGCGTCGATGGCAAGTTTGATCCAGCGGCCGCGTGATGGGTTATTGTGGTGACTATCGATGCATACATGGGGTGGGTGTCGCGTTTTTAGTCTAGGCTGGGCGTGTGTCGGTGTAAGTGGCCAGCTGGAAGAGATCTAGATGCGCGTGTCTGAGGGAGCCCATGGCAGAACGGTTGAATAGATGTCTAGACTGTAGTGTTTGAGAATGGATGGATGGAAGAGTAAATGGATAAATTAGTTGACACCATGTTAGATATGATGTGGCATATATGTAGGCACATGTATGTACAAGCAGTTCTTGAATGATTTCATAATGCTGCTGTTGGACAGATATACTCTGGAATGAATGCTTGGAAATTTGACTAATGCCTACAACTTGTATAGTATGTACAAAGTGCTGACATTGGATTATCAATGATCATCTGCCGGGGTGCTTTGAAGGCATTAGAAAATATTATCTCGTAAATACGGAGAGAGAGCGACCGAAGGATTGTCCGCCAGAGGAAGAGATGGCTCCGAAAAGGGCAGATACAGAATGAGAGTCGAGCTTTTTCTCCTTCTTGGAGGAAAACGACAGGGGTAGCTATGGGCGACGGTCAGGGGAGGTGAGCCTAGGCTTGCCGGCCTTTTAGAACACCTGTGAGCATGGCTGATGGAACATCTAGCCGTTTCTATATACGGGATTGACCACATTTAAAAGCTTCGATATACGCAATGTCGTATCTTACAGAGAGCGAGGAAAATGCTACAAGTACAAGGAAGAGCGAGAGTGAGTGCAGCATGCAATGCAGGAACATGGAGTGAAAACTTACAGGACTCATGGTGCTCCATCAAAAGTAAACGGTTGCATTCGCAGTGGAAGAGGATAGACAGTGCGTGGGACACTGACCTGTGTCTTCTTTGCCCTGGTCTTTTTGCAAGCAAGGGGAAACCGCGGCAAGACGGGAAATATTGGCGAGTACAGTCAGAAGGTAAAAATACAAAGCAAAGAAAAGAGTGAAGAGAGAGAACGACAAGGGAAAGGGAAAAGTGATCTGTCATCGGGATCTTTGGGCCTTGTTCCCGTGCATCCTCGGAGATGTCCACTTTGCTGCGATAAGATGACGATGTATGTATGTATGTACTGCGATATTCACTGCTGGTACCAGTTTGTAGACCCGTTTACGACGATGACGGCCTTTTCATCCTTGTTGAATCATAGTGGCATTAGTTTCTATTTTGGTCAATTCTCTCTTTTTACTTTTATATCTGCTCCCATACTTGCTGTATAATGGCAGTATGTAGTCTAGTTAGGTCTGCATGCAGGTGCGGAGCGGACTTAACACGGAACAGCATGCCGCACACAGACAAACTCGGTGGATATTTTGCAACCCCAAGGTAGCAGCAGGATGGGTGGCAGTTGTATTGTAGAGTCGTATCTGGAGTGGTGCCGGGCAGAGGTGGGGGCTGGGAATAGAGAGATGGAGAAGGGCGAGAAAGCCGAGGGAACTAAAGAGTGTTGAATACTGTAACAACTGAACAACTAGGTATAAGCGATGGAGGGTTTGATTGTGCAGAGAATTTGACATGTGCAACCTGTTTCGTTTGTGAATTTGCGTTGAACATGATTTGGTCTACCTTATACATGTACACGCGTTTGCAAGTGGAATGCAGCAAAGCAAAAGTCGCTGCTGATATTGTCTTCTACAGTAAACGATGCTAACAATAAACCTCTCCTCTTTTGGGTTACTGCATCAATCGGGCATCCTGATGGCCAACAGAAGACAGATCCGTGTAGTTACGTAGCTCTACTACTGCAGCCACATCTCGTCACTGAGCGTTTCGTTTGATGCCATTGTTTCATCTGTTCTGACGGAGCTTTGTCAGCGGCATTTGCCAGCTTCGCCTTGCTGCAGAGTATCTAGACTGCATAGTACTAACATGAATTGATCAATTCTACACGGCCGATCCTCTCCACTCGTACACTCGGCGCCGTCTGTACTTGGGCGCCCAGTTTCAAAATGCAGTCGACTGATGTTGTAATACGGAGTGCATGCTCCGCGGCACATTCAGTACTGTACAGCGCACTTCTGCCCCCTGTAGGCCTAGTAGTATACTACCGTCAATATTTCCTGCTTTTACGCGCTCAGAGCGCCTGCTCGGCGGCTACAGTGGGCGCCTAACGCATCTGACCTCCACTGTTTCGTTTCTTGCCTCGCCCAATGAGCGCCAACCGCCTGGGCGAGCGCGCCTATCTCTGAAACCTCAACCATCCACCATCGTCAACATCTTTGGCTGGACGAGGCTCAGCTCAGCGTTTGCAGCCAAGTCTCTGCTGCGTACAGCGCATAGTTCGAAAAGATCCAGCAGGGCATTCAAGGGTGCCCAAGCATCTGGACCCAGCATCTGGACCCAGCCATGACGCATCGTCCATCTGGCGCCGTTGGCGGACGGCCAGTCGTTTGCTGTTTGCTGTTCAGCATCATGTGAGAATCCCGGCTCGATGCCGCTCTGGCCATCGCCACCTGTCAAGCCGCTGGTCCTGCGTCCTTTGAGGCATTACGCCATGAACAGCTCTCTAGTGAGAACCGGCGAGGAAAAAAAACGAAGCAAACTGGAGTTCCCCAGCGGTTCCTCCGCAAGAGCCCTGGCTATGATGGCGTGCGTCGAGTGACACCGCCGTCTAGCAGCTGCGCTTTGACTGGTCCTGGATCGTCCACAGGCTACCGGGCCGCTGTTTCGACAGCCTGACGCCTGCATTCACTCGCTGGCGGTGCAGTATGTGGCGTGCAGCGTGCGGGCTCCGTGGACGCTTCTCACGGCTGCCTTGAAACGTGCTCGCGCTCGATAGAATGAACAGGACTGCAGCATGGATGCCGCCGAGGAGGAGCGCAATTGAGGACCAGCCAGTTTGATGCTGTTTCTGAGACGCGCTTGGGGGAGAATTTGGGCATGCCACAGTCATCCGATGCGCGCCTATTCGTGCGTCTTGTATCGTAATCCGCCCGAGAGCGTTTCTCATATCCAGACGTGACTGACTCCATATCCGACTTTCTTGCTCTACCCAGTTTTTCTCTCTCCTTCTCTCCCAATTCTCTGCTCCTGCTTGCTTTTCTCTTCTTCTCTATTTGCTTGTTTATGATACGTTCTCTAGCACACTAACCCATCACTCAGTACTTGTTTCCTATTGCTTGGTGTATGTGCGTCACTTGTCTTGACAGCACACACACACACGGTTCATTCTTTGATCAAACACACACAATACACACAACTCAGCTCGCCTTTCTTTCATACCCCCTCTCATATTCTAATATTGCTTCCTTTCCTTTCCTTCATTCTTCTACACAAGATTCTGTTCAACAGCTTGGACGACTGCTTGGTCAGCCAACAGTTGAGCTGCTTCCGAGGAATTCTATTTTCCTTGGAACTTCCTCGCCGACGTACATTCTTCAACTTCCTTTGGCTGAATCGATCGAAAGAAACAAATCATACGCGGTATCGTGTCTTCGGCTGGGCACAGCAGCTCATCAAACCGCCAACATCGGTGTGCCTTGTTGGAGTTATTGTTATCGCGAGTATTATAATGATCTTTTCGCCTCGGTTTACTCGCCTCTTGCTGCTGGTTTCAGCATTGGCTTCAACCGTCTCAGCCTCGCCTACGAATTCCCTCTTCGTCCGAGACTCTCAGTGCTCTGCTGGTCTAGAGTCCTGTCCTACGAGTTTACCCGACAACTTTTGCTGTTCTCAGGGAACAACCTGCCTACCATTGGCTGGCGCTACAACTGCGCTATGTTGTCCTACCGGCCAGACCTGTGAAAAGATCCAGCCCATTGCCTGCGACATCAGCTTGCAGGATCCAAGCAAAAACTCGCAATCACCAATCAAAACCAGCGTTTTCGACGTCTCGTTGGGGAAATGTGGCGCGAACCTCTGCTGTCCGTTTGGATATTCCTGTGTTGGAGGCAACCAATGCCAGAAAGACGCTGATCAGAGCACATCTCCACAGAGCGCCAGCTCTTCAACTACTGGTTCGCCCACATCAACCTCGCCAGCATCTGATTCACCAACGTCACCTGCATCGGCTACATCAGCTTCTGCGTCAGCTACACCCCCTCCCGCTACTTCTATCGTCGTTGCGCCAGTCACTACAGGAGCAGCGACGCAGCCCGCAGAAGAGTCTTCCCTCCCGTCTACCACTTCATCACCGGACTCTTCTACGGAGACTACAAGTCCGGCCCCCAAAGCTTCGAACCCAAAGACAATCTCAATCGTAGCTGGTGTTGTGGGAGGCTGCGCCGTCTTGGCTGCGTTGGGAATTATCGCGTTCCTGTTTATCCGCCGCCGCAACCGCTACAACGAGAGTGAATACACTGAGAAGGCAAGCATCAAACATCTCGGTCCTGGTCCTGGTCCCGACTTCCAGGGAGGCAGCTTCATCTCTGATCCCATTCTTCAGCCAAATTCCTACCGCGCTGATTTCATCCGCAAAACTCCCTCCATTAGGTCTTTTGTGAGCCAGAGACCGCCCCGGATTTCTTACCAGGAGCGACACTCACAGCGACTTTCTATCCCGAATCCTTTCGACTCTCCCAACACCTCGGATCACTCGCCTACCAATTTTAACCCTTCTGTCTGCTCAGAGGACGACTTGAATGCTCGTACGGGAGTCGTTGAGTCTGGATCTCGATTAGCTCCTATCAGGGCTATGAAAGCTTCCAGCACCCGACTCTATCCGCAAGACATGCCCAGAGACAGAGAGCCTAGCGGGAGCGAGAGCATAAACGTGTTTGCTGATCCCGTCATGATGCAAGGCAACTATGACAGGCGCCACACTCAGGGCACGACCTTCACAGATCTCATGTTGGAGGCTGATCTTGACGATGTACGACGTGGACATCCATACCTTGTTCATGATCCCATGCCCACTAATAGGATATAAGGCTGATCATGAAGTTACATCACCTATCATCTGAATATTGTACGATGACACATTCCCTTTGTCGCCGATAATTATCTGTTTTACTCCTCCCCTTTTCTTTACATATTCACGAATTCCCTTTGTTTTGGGGGCCCTGCTTGCTATAAAATGTGCATACCGACAGCAAGAGGGCAAAAGAGTGGGAGGTGTTTGCTTTATATCTGTTCATTTCCTTTGTTTCAACAAGAATGAGTGATACCAATGGATCTTGAAAGACCCATTTAACGATTTTTATATCTCCTTTGTGCAGGGCATATACCAAGAGCTATGGTTAGCGAGAAAGAGTCGGCCGTAAAACGTGGCTTAATTTGGATATTACTTGGGTGGATTTTTACCTCGTCATGCTTGGTGAGAAGGGCGTGGCTGAGGGGTGGTGTGTCGATTTGGTTGTTAAAGGTTGTATGTATTTGGTCGGGGCCTTGATGGTCCTGAGATTTGGTCTTGTGGCGATAATGTATTGGTTGGTTTAATAGTTTGTATACAGAATGAAGAGCAGTTAAAATAATTTTCCATAACACACATATATGTTAAAAAAAGAGAAGAAAAGTTTGGCTTCAACGTGGGAAACTCATAAGATGTGAAATCTCAAGCGCTATCAATATAATTCTTTCAAGATGATGCTCCCTCTGCTCTATATTAGTGACGAATGCAGCTGTGTATGCAAACATTGGTGACTATATAAAATTGCACATAAACAATACCTCGCTCGCCAATTACATATCACATATATATCGCCCAAAATCAAAACCCATGTAAAAACAAACAAATAGACAGGCAAGCCCTTTTCCTTAACGACAGTGAGTCATCTCTTCCTCCTATTCTTTTTATTCCGATTCTTCTTCTCAGCAATCGTCCCAGACACGCCATGATGCTGATACTGGTCGATTGTTTCAACAATAAACACAAAAACAAAACAAAAACAAAAAGCTGTTACAAAGACCAACACTGGTATCTGTCTGGACTATATCCAACGCATAAAAGCTATATATCAAACAGTAAGCAGACGGAATTCCTTTTCCGTAAAACGATATCAACAAAAACTCGCACGACCCGCTTATTGATTTTATATGCCAACACCAGTCATTCTATAAAGAACGGCTGCGTGTTTTATTAGGAAAAAACTTGAGAGGGACAGAAAATATTTCCTCCCTTTCATCACATAACGCTGCATTTTTTATCATGGTCCTTTGCAATGGCCGGAGCGTCCACGTCCACCCAGACGCTGCCGTTATGATCGTCCTCTAAGATAGCAGTAACTCTCTTCATCTCGTCCTTTCTCTTCTTGGCGTTCGCGTTCCACCCTCGTTTCTTCGCGTCCCGCATATTCTTTGCCGCGCTTCTCTCAGCCCGACTGGGTCGTCTATTCATATTCGATGGCTGCCTGCCCGGCGAGGTAGGTGCCCCCTTCATCCACGTCGGCAAGGCGAGAGTACTGGTTTCTAGTGGAGCTTCGGTGCCAGTCGAGATCGTTTCCAGCCTTTCTACTGTGGGAGCGAGGGCAGAGCCGCCTGTTGGGCGAGGGCGTCTGGCTATAGGCGCTACGATCGGCATATCACCCCGGCGAGATGTTCTGCGCTCCGGCGGATCAAAGACACCGCCTACGCCTCGCGGCGTACTGATGATAAGGGGCTGATCGATTGCGGGACTAGGCTCGTTTGCAGTGGAAGTCAAAGAGCCCCCGATCGGCTGTGGTCGCTGTACCTGAGGGTTCTGCGATGAGAGTAGGCTACCCGACAAGTTGAGTGGATTCCCCTGACTGGCCCTCCTGATAAGCCTGGCCATTTGGTCCGAACTAGGGGCGGGTGGTAAAGCTGGGTTGACTGTTTCGCTTTCAGCATTTGGGCCGCCTCTTTCTTCCGGAGCAGCCATTGGCCAGGTCTGGGCATTAGAGGGCCTCCTTAAAAGGCAACATGAGGCGTCGCTGGTCTCCATTGTGGAAATTGAGGCAGAGTCGAGCCCTAGGCTCGATCCACCGAAATCAAATTCAGGATGCAACATGGCAACTCCAGCGGCAGGACTACCCTCATGCTGCGCCGTTGAAGAATTTGATGTCACTGAGGTAGGTTGTGGCGTGACGGATCCCCGCGACAAGGCTGTAGATCGACCGTCTTGGCTGTGAGTCATCACTGGTGAAGTTGGAGGAGATATTCCGTATAGATCCTCATGATCTAGCGGTCCAGATGTGCTTGATAAGGGCAGAGGCACGTCGTCTTCAACCCGTAGCCTGCTTATCACACTTGTTGAGTCGCTAGCGGATCTCCCATGAGCTGATACGCTATAATTAACAGCATCAACATCGGGTACGACGAAACTCGGGAACGGCTGAATGCTTGATGGGATCGTCAAAGTTGGTGGTTGAGGCATTTGTACTGGTAGGTACGGCTGTGTTTGCGCTGGTATTGAGGCAGACGCCAACACAGCGCGCCCGCGCAGAAAGGCGGGTGTATCTCCTGGATCCTCTTTCTGATAAGGTGGTGGTGGCGGCTCCCAATTATCCGCATCACTCTCATGGGGGTGCTCTCTCCTACCGTCTGCCCGACGGTATTCTATGGGCCGGCCGTCTGCCGTCCGTGGGTTTAGACGACGATTTGCAGCGGCCACTGTAGCTGCTCGGCGCAGTGTTGTCCCTGATCGCGGGCTAGAGTGCGCGTATGGGGCATCCAGGGCCTCCTGTTCTTCAATCGATAAGAATTCTTCATCGTCGATGGGCTCTTGGATAATTGGGCGGCTGATAGGAATTCGATTCATCGTCCTCGGCACTAGAGGGTCGTCGTCCTCGACGCTTCGAGTTGATATAGGTGAGATGGGTGATACAATATACTGAGCAGACGAAGTGGGAGAAGTATGAATGCCAGCGACTGTTGCGGTACGCATCAAGCTGCCTCTCCGTGAACCTCCTCGCCCCCCTCGTTGGGCTACTGTCCTTCGTCGCACGATGGCAACATCGACTTCTATATCGCGTTGCTCCTCTTCGAGAACTTCGGCTTCATCGCTTCCGACTTCGATAATCACCTCTGTTTCAGTTCCGTCGGTGACGGCGTAGCCGAAATCTACTAGAGCAATTCTGCCACCATCAACAAAGTCAAAGTCCTCATCTTCGGTGACGAGCCTAGGCCCTGTAACCCCAGTAGCAGTGACAATAAGTCGTTCCTTGAGCAAAGTATCGCCAAATTTTGAAACCCACTTCACGTTGCTCACGCCTATCACTTCTGACGTCTTGTGTCCCGCCACGAAGTTGTTCCTCAGCTTATCACATAGGATCTGCCACTGGGGAACTCTAGCACTGGCAGCTGCGGGCACAGCAACTTCCTGCGTCCTGATGGACGGAGATCGCGACGAGTGGCTCTGAGCGCTGTTCCTCCTACCCAATCCAGAAGCATCACCGTTCGCTAGAGCAGCGTCAGGTACTGTCGTCAGGTCCTCAGGTACTCCATAGACCCAAACTTCGTTGCCGTGGAAGCACGCCGACACCAGCTCGCCATGGTACGTAGCCGAAGGCAGCGTACAAGGAAGGAGCTTTGCTTGTGAGGCTGTTTTGGGCACTGGTCCAGTAAAATGAGTGGTGCCGTTTCTCAAATCATCGATCCTCACAGCACGAAAGCTTTCAAAGCTGCGATCGTATGCAAATGCCCAGGCAGCCTCGTCCTGGCTTCCATCCTGTAGCAGCACGGCATGACTGCAGTCTCGACTCGAGTTGGGAAATAGAATGGACGTGGTCCACATTGCGCTGAGATTATCTTCGCCTTCGTCCATTGTGAGAGCGCCGGGATCATAGTATGGCGCGGTGATGACGACGGTGCTCGGCGGGGATGAGTGAAGCGTTGTCCCAAGAATCTGTGTGCCATCAAAGGAGAACGCCAAAGCGTCGACTGCGTCGCACTTGACGGCTCGCCTTTCGGTGGGAGACGCCCCACGGCTCAAGGCCTGGACTTCGATACCGCCGTCATAGGCCGCGGTGAGAACTGTGCCGCAGGGCGACAGGGCAATTGTTCGTGGGTCGTTGTCGAGAATCATGGACTGTTTTCGTTTCGGCGGGGACTGCTTCAGGTCGTAGACGTCAACTTGCATCTCGTTGGAGAGAACAGCCAGGAGACTCGCGTCGTTGGATACGCATGCCGATACTGGGCGTCGCAGCAGCTTGAACTCTCGCCTTATGTCGATCCTGGATCCTTGAGTATTTATAAGGTACAGCCTAGAAGAGTTATACGCCAATACGTGATGCCCGTTTGGCGACGTGGTGAATGCCATGCCTTCCCCTCCTGGACATGATGAAGAGCCGATTGCCTTGGACACGAGCTTGAATACGGTCACGTTCGGTCGCACGTAGGATTCGAAGAGATTGCGCTTGATCTCGCTGGCAAACAGCAGTCGCAGGATAGACAAGTTTTCGTCATCGGCACTGGGCAGCTTGTGATGGGACGAAGCATATGACGGACATCGTGCGAGGTGGTATCGATAGAGGTGCGGGCGCTGGGATACGTCTCTCCATTTTCGGTTGAGGGTCATGAGAGACGCGAAGCCATTGGGATCTGTGGCGAGGAGTATCCTATGAGGCTGCTGTCAGAGTTTTCCTGCTTGTCTGGTCTCACAGCGTTTCTTCGGCCCTCTCATTCCCGCCCACTCCCACTTCCATCTCCACCCACAACATCACCACCTGTCTCAACGATCCGCCATTCAATCCCGCGTCATCTGCAATCCAAGGGGGGAGATGCTCACTGCTCGATGATTTCGTCTGGTAGACCGTCGAACGGCGGGGGGGTGTCGAGGACGAGGGGCGCCTTTTCGATGCTGGACCGTCGCGCCTCTGCCGGCGCCGAGGCGTCGTCCATGGCGCTCCGCTATCGATGGACAGCCTTAGACACGTCGTGGCATGTCCGATAACCTGTTGAAACTCGCTGTATCGCTGAAAGAAGATGAGAAGACGACTGTGCAACCGCTATAATGACAATAACAACAGAAAAAGGACTGCGAAAACGAGAAGACAGCAGAATCAGAAAAGGGAGCGCTGATGAGGAGGAAGCGTGGCTGAGAGACCTCTAGTACAAGTAAGTCGCAAGCCGGAACGACTACCCTCGTACGGCAGTAGCACGGCTGCCATTGCAGATTCCATGTACCGGTACTCCGCCTGCAGCGCGCTGACACGAGTCACCGGACGGCACGGTACATGAGCGCTCTGGAAGGCTCCGACCTGTCGAAGCTGAGCTCCGGATTCTAGCGTCCGCAATGCGCCCCATGGCACCCTGCTAGCGCTGAACATGCTGCCAGCAGTGGAAGCTGGGCAGCGCTGGGGCCCTAGGCTAACACGACAGGTCCCCAGCAGGATGACGACCTAAAAGAGCAACATGATGCTTAACTCACAGCCAGTAAATAAATCAATAAAGGGAAAATAAAATAGGGATAATATAGTATAATACTAGAATAATGTGCGGTTGAGCACCCTCATCTCCTACTTGTCTATTCAGCGTACCTACAAGCAGCCAGACCATCTCCGGTCAGTCTTTCTTTCTTCACGGAGCCACAGCGCATCTGCAGCTGCATGCACAGATGCCCAGACAGCACCCACGGCAGATCCTCTTTCGGAGCCGTCAAGCTACGGATTTGACCGACATGCTACATCCAGAATGCGACCACGACAAGGGGGGGGACGATTGTCAGGGCGAGTTCCGTTAAGAGCCGATTGATGGGCACGCCGTGCAGATATGCCAGTCCCCGCTGGGGGGATCTAGGCACCTAAATTTTGTTTGTCCTTGTCTTGATTCCAAAAAAGTTCCTTGCTTTTTTGCTCAACCCAGATACATCTTGGCGCTTTGATACCGTAAGATGTATATGTATTGATGTTTGTACGAATAGGTACATGTAGGCATACAGTATCCAGATGATTTCCAGAACGCGCGCATGAATCGCACCATCCACAGTAGCATCATCAGCCTTAATTTCCCCCAAGCCAAGCGTCCAGTCTCCAAATAATAAACTATCGCACTGACATTGGCCTAAATAAGCCTCGCGTCCCGTCATGGCAAATCCGGCGTGTTCCTTTTTTTAGCCCGGCGTGGCAGATGCTGAGCTAGCAAATACATAAGAAAAGCCACAGCTCCTTTCACGTAATCATGTACCAGCATGTAATCACCTAAAACTTTAGTATCTAATGG